TATTTATTTATTTATGTATTTTTTTCGGACACAATTTTAAAGAATTTGAATTGACATGCCTTTACTAAAGAGTGGTATTTGCTCTAGTTTTTCATAGACCCAATCATGCCCTGTTACCTTACATCTAGCTTTACTTAATTATGATCTCCGAAGAATTTGAGTTTAAGACTTCTAAAATATCCTTTAACTATCCAACATTTATTTAGAATAAAGGTTGAAGGTCTCTATTCCAGAAGGATCTAGAAGGATCAGAGAAGAAAGATTGCCTGGTAGTGGTAGTCTGCCTCTTTACTACCCAGAGCAATTGGGTCTTAAACTGCTAAATACTCCATTTAACAAAACAAAAACTCTGCAATCATTCTGACACCCATTGGGGAGAAGAAACTTCCAGAAACCATTTACTGTCACCCTAGAATGCTTTAGGAGGTCTCTCTCACTAGTTACCACCATGTACCCAAATAGCTTATGAAAACATTTCTTCTAACATCACGTCATCTTACCTGAGAATAATTCTGGTAAGTATATTGCCTTCCATTTGCTATGCTTCCAGGGATATTTTAGCACCATTAAGAGACTGGCACCCCCAGGCCATCTGGCTCTGTCCTGACGTTTCTAACACTCTCTAACACTGCAGACTGGTGCTGTTTCCAGAGATTAGGAACACTAGAGAGAGGGAAGTTTTTGAGAAGGAAATAATGAGTATAATGAGTGCATGCAGAACTCAAATCACCAGTGATCCATTCAGGTGGGTGGTTCAGAGAAAGAAGGCCACATCATACATCTTAAAGAGAGACTGTCAGAAGTGGTTTTAAACATGAGTCTTGTTTGATGTGCTGGGTTTGGATATTTGCACATGAAGAGAGAGCATTTCAAGCAGGATGAGGAACTTTGGCAAATACAGTCTTCATTAGGGAGTAAGGGAGATGTTTTAGACCTGTATGAGCTGTATGAGATCTATAAATGACTCATGACTAATCTAGGCTCTACTTTCCTTCCCTTTGCTTCCCTTTCCTTCCCTTCCCTTCTTCTCTTCACTTCTTCCCTCCCCTTTCCTTCTACCCTTCCCTTCCCTCCCCTCCCCTCCGCTGTCCTCCCCTTCCCTTTTCTTTTCCTTTTTCTTTCGTCCTCCCTTGCTTGCTTGCTTGCTTGCTTGCTTTCCTTCCTTCCTTTCTTTTTTTTTTTCTTCGACAGGGTCTCACTCTGTTGCCCTGGCTAGAATGCATAATAGCTTACTGCAATCTCATACTCTTGGGTTTTAACAATCCTCCTGCCTCAGCTTCTCAAGTAGCTGGGACCGCAGGCATGTGCCACTATACCCGGCTAATTTTTCTATTTTTTGTGGGGACAGGGATCTCACTCTTGTTCAGCCTGGTCTCAAACTCCTGGCCTCAACCAATCCTCCTGCCTTGGCCTCCCAAAGTGCTAGGATTACACCTGTGAGCCACTGTGCCTGGCCGGACACTACTTTTTCTAAAGCTCTTCATTGACCTTCCATAGAATCCTTGATGTTTAGAGATCTCATAATTTAATAAAGTTCTTTATAGCAAATAGGGTCCACTTTTAAAATCAGTGGAAACTGTTAGAGCCAGCAACATCGATACAACCACTAGTAGCAGCTGCTCATTTGGCCTGTAAAAACCAACTATTCCTGGTTAATAGCAAAAAACCCCAAAAACCAAAAAACAAAAAAACTGGTTAATCAAATGCATTAGCATTGCATTTTCTATCTAAAGCAACTCAATTTTTAAAAGCTGGAATGAGCATTACTTGTAAGAAAAAAGAGTAATTTTTACCTATTTCTTTCACTTAATCTTTCCCAACTGCCTTCCAAGGCAAAAGAACTCTCCTTGGCACCTCAGTTCACACAAACACACATGAACAAGAACACACATTAGGTTATAAAAGTGTGGTTTGTTAATTGGTTTTGAGCTCCAAATAATCCTTAAAAGGTAGCTTTCTCAATTCAAAATCTGGATATTACAGTGTATTTATTATGGTGAAAAGCTAGAAACAAACTAATATCCAAAAACAGGGAAAAGTCGAAGCAAAATATATGTCCACATGATGTTATGCTATGTGATCATCACATATGATTTTTACGAAGAGTTTTAAACAATAAGGGAAAATTCTTAAGGCAAAAAAAAAATCTATGTGATGCCAATTGTTGTACAGTTAGGTCACAAGCAGCTAAGCAAACTATTATAAAAACACTGGCAAGAATATGCTAAAATGTTCAGTGTTTTCTTTGGGTGATGAGAATACAGATAATTTTTATTTTAAAAAACTTTCCTATTTTAATATTGTAAATATGATACTTTTATAAGGAAGCTCTAAGGGGTCTTTCCTATAATACTGAGGATTTTTCCCATGCCCAAGCCTCTCAAAGGGACGTATCCCAACTTTCACGCTTGAGGTGCCGATAAACAGGAAGGGAGAAAAATAATTTGTCCAAATTATTGATCTTATTCGAAAATGCTTATCTAATATAAATGTAGAACCAAAGGAAATGTGTGAATATTGAATATTATAAGGATATGCATAAACATTCTTTCTTCTGATATTTTAAGCAAAGACCATAAGAGACACAGGAGTCCCTGTTATTTCCAAAATGAGCAGGTATTATCATCACCAGTATGTCAGACATGCTCCCCCATCAAAAAAAAAAAAAAAAGGAAAAACAAGCCTGTATCAGTTTTTAGAAGTATTTAAGGAAGAGTCTTCAGCCCATACACAGTCTAAGTGTAAGAAGTATTATAATAATCGAAGAATATTCATATAACTAGAAGCTAAAACAGGGTCTTATAATCTTCCCTTGGTGTTTCTTATGTTTACTGGTATCCATCAGATGCATTTTCTCTTCCTTTTCCATTAATTGTGCAGTAGAATAAAAATGCTGAAAAATGACACGCAAATATTTCTACTACACAACGAAAAACAGTATTCTCTAAATCAAATATAGAATCATCACGTAGATAATTATAAGTGTGAACTGTGTGAATAATGTATTATACTTCATAAAATATATTAACAGTTCATAAAAAATAATGTATTATAGTTCATAAAAAAGATAACCTATTGAGTGAACTTTTAAGAGCAATACCCCATTGTATTATACTATAAAAATATAATTTGTGTGTAGATTAGTATTTTTTCATAAAGAACACGTGTATAACAGGACTAAGATTGTTAGATACAGTCTAAAAAGCAGAGAGAGCAAAGCTGGACATGTTAATAAATAGTTATCAAGAAGTTTCAAAAACTGTGGACTGACATGCTCATAGATTAGTATTTGAGTCAAGGTTTATGCAAATGTTTCATTTTTTTAAACACAAAACTATCTCATCATGGTTAGCAAATCACAAAATAAAAGCAAATCCATTAGAATAGATTCAAAAAACTTCTTTGTTACATGTATTTATTTTAAAAGAAACTGACCACAGGAATAAATTTTAATGACTTTATGAAAATATTATTTTGTTTTGTATTGGTGGGGATAGGAAGTCTTGTTAATGATTTTCTAAAATGTAAAGTGGGAAGGGCATGTCAAACTCTGAAAATATCACATTAACTCATAAAACTTTATTAAGGCCTTAGTAAGAGAGATAGCTCTTCAATAGATCTACTACTGTTTTTGCAATCTCATAACCATGTAGCATGGACACACAATTAAAAAAAAAGTAGACACAACTTTTACATGAAGATGTGACTATAAATCACCAATAACAGTTTTACTCTAGTATAATCTTCTTGTGACATGAGTTAGTATTAGCATAATTATGCCAATTTAAAAAATCTAGTGGGTCTATTTATTTTGGTGTAAAGCTTGATTGGAAAGATTCAGGGAAACATCCATAATTTGCTACTTTCTCTTTACCTCTAACACTATGCTTTCTCTGCCAGTCCTCACTCCACATCCTCTGACTCAGAGACTATTTGGAGAAGACACCTGTTTCAAATGGATCCACAGGAAATACCTATGTTGTCTTTTCATAATCTGCCCATGCATCTGGTTGGTTGAAATGTGATCATGATTAAAAAAAAAAAAAATGCTGCCCACAGACTGATGCAACTTCAGTGTGACAACATTTACTGGAAGGCAGAGGGAATCCAGTTTATATTTACTTTTCTTCCATTAAGTCTGGGATTATAGTGTAGGAAAAAATAAGTAAGTAAAAGGGCAAAACCAGTTTAACCCCCAAAAGATTAGCGTTAACAGTGCACACACATTGGTTTTATATCCAAACTCAGAATGATTTGTTTTTAAGCTGAATGCAACCTTATAGCCGAAACAATTATCTGACACTATTTTCTTTATAGCTTTTTATGTATAAACCTCTTGTCCAAAGTTCATATTATATCTTATGTTACATAGATTTGATATTAGTAAACCTCTTATAGAAAAGCGCAGGACAGCCAATCCACTGAAACAGAAGTTTACAAGGGAGTTTGATGATGATTAACGGCCGTCTGTCAACACTAAAACCCCCGCTGGGTCCAAAATAATGCAAGTCACTCCGGCGCCCCGAGCGCGGATTTACACCCCAAGTTCACACCTCCATCGTCCCGCCGCTCGCAGTACCCCGCTGGGCCGACAGCAACTGCCCCAGGGAGCTCGGCCGCCCAGCGCCCGGTGGCACATTTGTCCCCCCGCGGTCCTCCCCTTCAGGCCGGGTGCCCCGCCCCCTCGCCCCGCGCTGTGCAGCCTCCCGCAGCGACGCGCACTGCCCCAGTCCGGGTCACAGTCGGAGGCTGCCCCCCACTCCCGCGACACCCCAGAAGGCGCCCCCCGGCCGGGTCTCTCGGGGCCCCAGGACCGCTGGAGCAGAATGACGAAAGTGACGAAAGAGATGACGCCACGCCGCCCGCCTGGCCGCGGCCGGGCGCCCACAAACGCCGCCCCGCCCGCTCGGGTCGCCCGCGCGCTCGCGGCCGCGTCAGTCCCGCGGGGCGCGCGCCCAACCGCAGCCCCCGCCCCCGCCGACCGCGCCAGGATTCCCACGACGCCCGCCCCCGCGCGCCGGCCGCCCGGCGCCCTCCTCCGCGCGGCCCAGCCTGCCCAGGCCTCTGGCGAACATGGCGCTTGTCCCCTCGCAGGTGCTGCGGGTGGCCATCCTGCTGTCCTACTGCTCTATCCTGTGCAACTACAAGGCCATCGAAATGCCCTCGCATCAGACCTACGGAGGGAGCTGGAAGTTCCTGACGTTCATTGACCTGGTAAGGCCGTCCCCTCCCCTCTCCCTGTCCGCCCCGCACCCAGTGCCGGTGTGTGTTTGTGGGTGCGCGAGTACTTTCGCGCGTGCGCGTCTCCAGCACCCACCCTTGTCCTCACCTCTTCCCCAGTGATTGCGTCTAAAGGCCTGGCTGCCCCCGCAGCGGCGCTCCCTGAACCACCCACGGTTACCTGGTAGCTGGGGGACGAATGGAGGTGGGGCGCAGCCAGGTGGTGGGCTATTTGGAGGCACAGACTGCTTCCAACAGACGACACCGGAAGACTCTTCACCTAACAAAAGCATTGGACAACCTTGATCACGAATGGCCTGAGACCCACCCATTCGCCCTCAAGGTGCTTTCGAGAACACCCGCCGTGGGATAAACTTGCTTCAACTGAAGGAAACTGGGTATTGTCTAGTTATTTGGAGCTTCACCTGAAAAGACCCAAATCCTCTTCAGAAGAGAGAGAAAACACCTAATAAAGTTGTCTTCTTTGCATCTGTTTTTTGCCCTCTGTCAGTAATTTACTTCCAGTTTTTCTCCAGAAACATCAGGGGGAGAGAATTTCAAAATGCATTTCCAATGTGTACACTTTTCTCTGTCTTCCCATGTAAAAGTTTGTGATAGTTTGCATAAGCAACTCCTCTGTTGGCACAATATGATAGTCTTGACAGGTGCAGGTTATTGTTATTTTTATTTTTAAAGCTTACATACTTCTGACACTAAAAGAGTCCCCACAGAGAATCAGAACATGGCATAAGGCCCAATAACGACATGGGTGGACCTAGGAACTTCAGGGTGAAAGGTGACTAAGATGGGTGTGTAACACACACTGTAGGATTATCAGGAAGAGGATTAAAACAAAAGCAATGAAGTTCTAGAGGACCCTGTTACGGAAAATGTAGAACCAATTCCAAGATTATATACAAAGTTGGCCAAGCCAGCAAGATTATAATCTCTCTTTTTTTTTTTTTTTTTTTTTTGAGACAGAGTCTGGCTCTGTTGCCTGGGCTAGAGTGCTGTGGCGTCACCCTAGCTCACAGCAACCTCAGCCTCCTGGGCTCAAGTGATCCTACTGCCTCAGCCTCCCGAGTAGCTGGGACTACAGACATGCGCCACCATGCCTGGCTAATTTTTTTATGTATAGATCTTTAGTTGTCCAGCTAATTTCTTTCTATTTTTTTAGTAGGGATGGGGTCTCACTCTTGATCAGGCTGGTCTCGAACTCCTGAGCTCAAACGATCCACCTACCTTCGGCTCCCAGAGTGCTAGGATTACAGGCGTGAGCCACTGCGCCCGGCCTTATAATCTCTTTTTTTGACCCTCCATTTTGGTGAAGAGAACTTGATACCTGTTTTAAGGTATTTCCAATGGCTTAGGATGCCTCAAAGAAATCCAATCAGACGCTTTTGGTTTAGAAATACCACCTTATTATTTGCATTATATTAAATATTTTCAGAGAGGAATTTAAATTCTTTTGCCAGCAGTCTACAAACTGTGCACATACCCTTAGGCACACAATACTTCCTAGGGCATAGAGCGTTTCAAGGGTTTCACATTTCAGACCCTCCACTTCCAACTCTTTCTTGAAACTAATCTGCCTCTGAACACGCATGATGCCTGCCAGTTCTCCTTTCTTATTCCCCATTCATCCATGAGAGGAGCACATGACAAGACTCTGTACTGTGTTTTTCATTCTGTTCCTTTTAGCATTCAGAAGATAGATGGCTGCCACCGGGACTATCTTCATACTTGATTGAAAAACAGAGTTGTTTTGACAGAAAGTCTTACTGGGTTGATTGGCTTGTCAATGAGGATTGACTTTGCCAGTTATGTCGTGTAGCAGACATTTTCCATAGATTGAATGAGCTCAATCTGCAGCCCTGAGGTTCTGATACATATGTATATAAAGCAAGTATCCCATATACAGAGCGTCACAAAGCATGTCCCTCTTTTTACAAGTGTTTAAACTTATGTTAAAGATGTTTAGATGTTATTTAAAAATATGTGCATATCTTTTCAGAATTCCTTTAGGGACTATGTGAGCAAAACTCCTTTTGGATTACTGCCTTACGCCATTCCTAAGTCAGATCTCACTTAGAGCTGGCCCATTTGAGAGTTGTCAAGGAGCAGGGCTGAGCTAAAATACTGGCAGAGCTGCTACCAGAGCCGTAGGTACCATACACAGCTCTCAGTAGCACCCTGGCAGAAGATGCTGTATTTTGGGAGCAGACGGTGGGGTCAGGTAAGGGGGTAGAAACTGAGGGTGTCCGTTAACCCAAGAGAGATTTGACTGTTTTTCACATTCACATTGCTTACTGCATGTTAAAAAACAAGGCTCACAGAAAGAATATGCCTCTCATAACCTTTGTATGACATTAAACTGTAGTAGAGTCAGTTTGATATACTTGTCATACAGCTTGTATTTTAGCATTTGATAATTAGACTTGCCTATTTTATGTAACGCTAATCACCATAAATATACTTTTTTTCTATCCCAGAATTCAGACAATAAATTCAAATTTGAAACTTTTACTTTGTTTCATATTTAGTTCCAGTATGTATAGGGCCTTAAGCCAATGATTCAAACTTTTTTTACTCTGTGGCTCTTGATTGAAATATAATAATTATCTCTAACCAAGAGTTCCTTTGAGAGAGTATGTCTAAAATATATTCATAAGAACACTCATGCAAAGTGTTATTCTTTTTACTATTCAAGATTTGGAGTCCTTAGAGTTTAAGCATTGCACAGCTGTTAAAACAACCAACCTGTCGATCCTCAGTAATGGCATGAGAAGAGTAGGCTACTATAATTTAGCCATTTAACTTTTCATTTTTTATGTTAAAAAAACTAGTAAATTTTATTACCTAGTGCCTTGTACAATTTTAATGATTCTAGGTTTATTGGAGTAATTTTGGAAGAGGGCTTAACTTCTCAACATTTTAATGAGAAGGCCCTTTTTTTAGCCAGCTTGTATTGCAGGGAGTCAGGGCATTTATCCTGATGGCCACAGTTGGATTCCGTGTTCCGTGGCATCAGTTTACCAGGACATGAGTCAGGAATCTCAGGCTATGCTTATCAGGGAGCATATGGTTATGTGGTAGCGGCCATTCCAGCTGTGTTCTCTTTAGATAGGAGAGTTATTCCAATCGAATCAGAGGTCATGGTCAAAATCTGAAATGCCGATTGTTGCTACCATTAATCTAATACTGTTATTTCCCGATGGCTCCTTTTTCCTAGCAATAAAAAACTGTAAGAGAACTAAAGTGCTTTTGGAAAATTCAAGTTAAATGGAGAAGGAACGCTGGCTTGGTATGGTAGTCAGAATAATGGGCCTCCAAAGATGTCCACATCCTAATGCCTAGAACCTGTGAATATGTTAGGTTACATGGCAAAGGGGAATTAAGGTTGTAGTTGGAATTAAGGTTGCTAATCAACTGACCTTAAAATAGGCAGGTTATCCTGGATTATCCAATTGGGCCCAGTATAATTACAAGGGTCCTCAAAAGTGGAATAGGGAAACAAGAAGAGAAGAGACAGCTGGAGGAAGATAGGACTGGGGAGGACAGTCACAGAGAGATGACCAGTGCTGGCTGTGAAGACGGGGCAAGGGCACGAGCCAAGGAATGTGGGAGGTGTCTAGAAGCTGGATATCTCTAGAGTTTTAAAGTTCTAAAGTCTAGAACTTTCCTCCTAGAGTTTCTAGAAGGAATACAGCCCTTTGACAGCTTGATTTTAGCCCAGTGAGACCTCTTTTGGACTTGTGACCTCCAGAATTGTAAAATAATAAATTTGTGTTGTTTAAGCCACTAAATTTGTAATTTGTCACCGCAGGAATAGAAAACAAGTGCACTTGGCTTTAAAGTCTCTGGCCTAGAAAAAAACTTAACTGTTTTTGTACTTATATGAAATAAATGCAGTGATTCAGCTGGTCTTTTATGTATAATTGATAACTGGTTAATTTTAGCTTTAACCAAAATATAGGTTTTGCCTACTTCCTCCATGAAACTATGCAGAGGAGGCCCACGTATGTGTAACAGTGGGCAATAAGAGACTCTATAAAGACTGAGCAACATTGGAAAAATTAGATCTTTCCTTTACTATGAAGTATTTCAGAAAATATCATTATGTAACATGCCAGGCCAGGAGAAGGAATACTCTTAACTGGAAACAAGTTGGAAAGAAAGAAAATTTGAACTGACCGATGTTCAAATATTTCCTTAGTCAATATCACAGCTGATGAATTTTCTTTAAATGATGCAGATTAATTCTCTTATTCAGTAGCTAAATGATAATTCTCCAAGATACATTAATAATTGCCCCCAACAATAAGAAAAAAAGAAGCAGCAGAATAAAACCAGCATAAATAAATTGAAAGAAAAAGGCAACTGTATTTTGAGGCCTCAGAGTAGTGGTTGGAGTGTAATAGGTGTTCAGTCAATGTTTGAATAAATGGAAACTTTCTGTTGCCAGATTTTTAATGAGTATTCTTGTTCCTACCAAAACATACAGGATAATAGCAATTAAAAAAAATACATCAATCAAACCTTCATTCATGTTCAGGTATATAGGGCAGACTGTCTAACATATTAGAATCAATTTCTTTGAAAACCATGAACTGGATATCTATTATTAAAACTTAAATTAATATTGATATTGTATTTAAGACTTCTTGATGTTTGAAGATTGAAACAGCGATCTGGCTAGTCCATTTGCTCTAGTTTGTGGTACTCACCGTTTTGAGAGTCCTCATTTCTTAGAGTTATATCATACTCATTATTCCTCCTGCCCTGACTTTTCATTCATGCATTGGCAGAATGTTGCTGTTTAGGCCCTGCCTACTCAGAGTATGAGCTGAGAACCAGCAAGATCCATTTTTCCCGGGAGGCTGTTAGAAATGTGGCATCTCCAGCTCCACCCTAGACCTTCTGAATCAGAATCTGCATTTTCATAAGACCATTAGATGATTCCTACATACATTCTAGTTTGATAAGTGCTGCTC